TTTTTTTTTTTGTTATTATTATTATTTACTTATTTATTTATTTTTTTGTTTTTTAATATTATAGTTGTTGTTGTTGTTGTTGTTGTTGTTGTTGTTGTTGTTGTTGTTGTTGTTGCTTTGTTTTTTATGAAAATGAACTAAACCGAGAGACGGAGAAAGAGAGAGAGAGAGAGAGAGCGTGAGAGAACCTTGAAGAAACCAGTTTAACTATTCTAATGTCAATGCCATTGCAGTGGCAATGGTTCCACCACATGATGGTGTAAATGCATAAAGTACGTAATATATAAAAACACATACCTGACCAACAACACCTCTTAGTCTCATGACGATTGTGAACGTGTGCGTATTGTATATGCACGAGATAACAACACAAACCATAACAACTAAAAGGACAACAACTACATGTGTATGTATACATATGTATATATATATATATATATATATACAGATGCATTATGCATATGAGTATACACACACCTACATACACACTTGTCAGCATACACATAAGAATACTGTTTGGACAATTTTTTATAAAGATGAATGTTTTTTTTTTTTTTTTGTTTTCACCAAGTTCGCGATTAACGACATTTAAAATGATCTAATGTTTTCATTTAACCCTTTCGTTGCTGGAGCCACAACAGGCCAGACGGTGTTATTATTTAAGTATGATAAGAATTGTTATTTAGTTTTGTCGGATGTGTCCATAACGTCCTGAATAAGTGAATTTGACAAAGCGACACACATAACTGATAGATAAACAATTGCTTTGGTAGCCCAGTCCTTACCATAAGGTGAAACAAATATCATAAACTGATAATAAGGCACTCATCACATAATTGTAACGCCATGCTTAGGTAAAAAAAATCTGATCGTCCCATATGTGGAACGCTAGTAGGAAAAGGATTAATTGGTAATCAACTCATTACGAAGAAAAGAAGAATTATTTTCGCACTCGAAGACCTTCTACTCTTACTATTATTAATATTATTGCTGTTTGTATAATACTCACTTGAATCCTTTATCATCATCGATACCGTTGACAACACCATTTGTTCCGGTGACTTGATCATCCTTCTTTAAGCCATTTGAATCAAATGGTGAATTCCCCTTCTCTTTATCATCGTGTGACTGCAAATAAACAGCGAAAACAGATGAAAGGAAATAAATTGAAGTAACAAACAACAGTTGGTAATCTGCCCAAAAGTGGGAAAATCATAAGTTATTTATTTTGAAAGGATACAAATACATGCACAGACGCAGACAAGCTTATAAACAAATAAATAAAAGTTCATTTTAGGACATTGAGACAGGCACTAAAATGTAATCAGCGTAACGAAACCGGAAATAAAGACAAACACAACACAAATGCAACGGACGTCCTGTCACATACAAGCGGACCAAAAAAAAAAAAAAAAAAAAAACAACCAACGCCCAAACGTCTATTAAACTTCATAATAAAAATAATTTTAAAAGGTGAACGGGATTTATAGAATGTTAGAATTAGCGAATTTGTGAAAAAGATAACTTTATATGGCCATTATATAGATATTACTATGACGTAATATTGGGAATGTACTTTCAAAAGCAGCAATATGAAGAGGACGTAAGGCCTTTTTAAAGAAGTCAACCACTTACCTTATCACTATCATCGAATTTTAAGCTTCTCAGTCGTGGTTCCAAGCCTGACAAAGGACTGTCTTTATTTGTCGGCGATCCTCCTAAAACGTATTCAACCATTTTAACTCCCAGACCACTTGTCGAATCGCGAGGACTACAAATTCAAAAAAAAAAAAAAAAATTATTATATTATTATTATTAAGAACAATTTTGCTTAACTTAAAAGTATATCTTTTTTTAATTGCTTCTTCAACACTTAAAATTTAAAGAAAATTATACTTGAAAGCGAAATATTTAAAAATTTATTTTAAAAAAATTTTTATTTAAAGCAAAAGGGTTTTTTTTTTTTAAATTTTTATTAAAAAAAAAAATCCTTAAAAAAAAAAACATCCTTAAAATTTCTTTTAATTTAAAGCTTTAATAAAGTTTTCTATCTAAAGGATTTCTTAATAAGAAGGTTTTTTGTTTCAAATAAATTTTGAATATTTCGTTGAAATAAAAACAGAAGGGTTAAAATGCGTTTTGAATTTGAAAAAAAAACATTCTTGTCTTATAAATAAAAAAATTTATTTTACTAAAAAGAAAACCTTATTGAAAAAATATATTTTGAAAAAAAAATGATTTAAAAAAAGATATTCAAAACAATCCTTTTAGTAAAAAAAAAATTTTTTATTAAGAAAATATATTCCAAGTAACGGATTTAAAAGAAAATGTTTTTAAGTTTCTTTTTTTATTTTTATTAGAAGAAAATATTTCTTTAAAAAAAATTATTAAAAAAGTAAGAAAATTATATTCAGTTGTGATCGAGTCTTTTTTATCCATCACCGTGATCTTACGATTAAAAACAAAGAAGAAGAAGGAAACTACAAAAGAACTACTCTATAACATTGCATGGGCGCGCGGTTGACTTTTTCTATTTGCAGAAAAAAAGTGTGATTTTATACGGTATACGAGTTGTGCTATATGAATAACGAGCAATCAACACGTAAGGCAAAGTTGTTCTCAGCTTTTGCAGGTCATGCAGGTACGTGGCCATTGCAGACATATCCTTTGGAATGTTGAAGTCAGTTTCAAATTATTTGCAAATTTGTAGGCGACAGAAAACAACATGGACAGACGGACAGACAAGCTTAGTTCGATCCGGAAAGTGATTGCGAATCAATCGGTGTTATTAATAGAACAGGTAGTTTATCTCGAATCCTTCTGGGTGTTGCATACATTCGCCCAATTTTATATACAATCGTGTACCCCAACTGGTACAGGGTATGAAAAGATATATATATGTAGACAAATAAACAAATAAATTAGTTGTTAACATTTCAAAGTTTTTGCTTTCTACTACCACTGCATACTAGCTTTCTGTTAGAAAAATCTTCCCCGCCTTCATCGCTGCAGGATGGGGAAGTATGTTAATTTTGTCGAAACTTTTGTAACGCCCAAAAGGATGCTTCAAAGACACTGCAATGTACATATGTTCTTGATTAGAGTAAAGTTCCAAATCGACTTAAGCATGTCCGTCTGTCCACCTGTGTAAGGTCTGTTGTAAACATTCTCCTGACCGCGGGAATGAAACTATCGATTGGCATTAAAAATATACGAACTTGGTTCAAGGGAACGCCTATGCAACAAACAATGTAATCAAACTTTGGTTTTCGAGTTTACTGCTTATTATACATGAAGCACAACACCATACACTATATAAATCTCGACATTTATTTTGAAAACAGAAAAAATCAGCCGCGCCCATCCCATGAAGATTTAATTCTCTTTCCTTTTTTTTTAAGTCTTCTTTGGGATACCGATGATGGGATATAAAGAATACGGTCGCGACCAAATATAATTTTATTCCTTTTTTTTTTTTTGTTTTTTTTACCTTAATATTCCGGCATTTGCGCTCACTGTTGTATCTGGTGCCTGGGGAAAAGTACGTGGCCTGGGTAATATAGTTTCTCCTTGCGTCGACCATGGTGAATCTTTCCAAACGTGTGGATCCCCAATATGTAAGGGATTTAAGGGGCCACCGGTAGAGGCACCTTTGCCATCGGATTTCTCCCATAGCTTTTTGGCAGTGGATGTAGTAATCTGTAAAACATGAAAAAAACAGTTCATTTAGTTAATTAATTTAAAATAAAAATAAAGAGAAAAAGAAAAGACAATCCCTTTAAAATCCTTTTAAATAATTTATGGCCACAAGAGAAAGAATTTATTGCGTACATGGCGACCGGCCGGTTTAACTTATAAATCAATTGTTGGTGGCATCCAAAAAACTTTCTGACTTTCTTACTCCACAGGGGCCACTAGGCACTGCACACTATGACTTTTACTATTTTTCTCGTTAGCATTTGAAAATTGCTGCTCCATTGAATTGTATAAGTAATTTGGACTTTTTGGTTAATTTAATTGACAATTATTGCAGAAAGAAACAATATCGAGCAAATATAATGGAAAAAAAAAATGGAAAAAAACACAATAGTGAATGTATTGCTACTCCTACGTGCTGAAGTAGTGCTTTCCAAGGGAAATGCAATCATTTATGTTGGTGTAAGGGTTGCTGCTGCTGCTGCTGCTGCTGTTAGCTGTTGTAGGTTAGCTAGGTAGTAGGCAAACATGACAGCAAAAAAAAAAAAAAAAAAAAGAAATGGACAGACTTTAATTGTTTATGAGATTTCATAAATGAAACAATTTTTCTTTTCTAAATCATGTTTAACTAGGAAATGAAAATCATACCTAACGGCTATGTGTTACTACTACTAACTACTCATTGTTGCCACAAAGAAGAGAAAGGTCAACACACCCGTACAACATTATTTGTGACAAATGTTCCATACACTAGCATGCATTGTACTTAATCTCTTGAACATAAACCACAGTTGCAGCAGAACGACGAGAAGGTGAAAATGGAAGAAAAAAAAAAAAAACAAAGTTAAAAAATGAAAAACAACCAAGCAGCACACATCACCTAATAGTACCTACCTAAATACACCTTTCAAAAAAATGAACAACTATAATAAATTTTCTCACATGTCCAAAAGAATGGAAAAATTACGAGTTGAACGTGTTAAATGTGGATATTTCTTACTACATGTGTAGTAGTGACTGACTGACTGACTGACTGACTGACTGACTGACTGACTGACCACTTGAGAATACCACCGGGAGAAAAACTACTTTTCTTTTATTTCTTTCATTTTAAAGTTCTAGTCTATTCCACGTAAATTATACAATTGACAGAGAAGAGGTGAAAAGAAAAGAAACAAGAATTTATAGCTTTTTTTTTTCGAAATTACTTGCTTCCATAGAATTTTTACCGCAAAAGCGTGCAAATAATTCTATTCATTATTTTCATTGCTCATATGCTGGAGAAATTCATTTTGACATAATATGTCGCCTTTTAAACCAAAACTAATAGAAACCACAAGCCAAACTCATTAGAGAACTCATTTAAGAACTTGGCGTTAATAACCGTGACGATAGCGTGATGAGATCTCTGATGCACATTGACATAGGTATGGTTTTTCTGTTTCTTTAAGTTAAATTCCATTACTGCCTAAAAGCAACTTTATTTCTTCTTCTTGTTACTATGGCATCATCCCTCATATAAAGATTATGGATGTTATGCTGCTAAAATCTATAATTCAACCGAAATTAAATTGTATTTATATGTTCGGGTTCGATTTTTAGTACGCTTGTGTTAAAAAAAAAGAAGTTTACGAGGGAGAAATATATTTAGATGTTTGCAAGAAAACTTTACGGTATGGCACTTGATGCTATTCTGTGGTATTCTTCGATTTGCTTATTACGCATTCTACACTATCGCATACTACTTTATGCTACTCTGTACTATTCAATGCTACGGTATGCTACCATATGCTGGTCTAAGCTAATCGTACGTCGTTGTATGGTATTTTATACTGTTTGAAGCCACTGTTCGGTATTTTTTGTTGTAGCATACTGATCTATATGATTTTATGCTGGTATGCTACTACGCTTTTCTACGCAGATCTATGTTAGTCCGTTGCATTCTGCATTCTGCACTCTACTCTATGCTATTGTTGGCTATTATTCACGATGCTGTTTTGCTGTATTCTACACTAATAATAGTGTAGGCTGTGCTATACTAACGCATTTTATGGTATTCTATGCTATTTATGCTGCGCTACCTATGCAGTGTTCTGCTATTTTATCTTATCGCCTAATACTCGTCACTTTTCAATTCTATTGTAAAAACATGCGCTGATCATCCTTATCATCCCGTAGTATTGTGTGCTAAATGTTTTTGCTCTCTGCTCTCTGCTCTCTGCTCTTGCTAGATCATCGTGGACACTATTTCACGATATTCACTTCTATCTTGATTGGTTTGTTCTATTTTGGGGTATTATAGGCCGTCCTATGCTAATCTCGTATGCTGGATGCTATTTTACGGTGTATTGTAAGGCCTAAGGTAATATATCATATGTTTTGAGTAATTCGTTGATATACTTTGCTGATCTGTATAGATGTAGGCTATTTCTTACCACTATACTACCCTACGCAATTATATCTACTCTACACTTTTATATGCTTTCATACACCATCCATGTTTTTCTACGCCATTCTGTACTATTTATGCTGTTCTTTGCCATCCTGTATTATTAAGTGCTATTTTTTGTTTTTCTGCGGTATTCAACGTCATTTTATGCTAACAGTCTGTATTGAGCCTATGCTGATCTATGTATTTTGCGAAAGTCTTTGCTATACCCTATTATTGTAAGTTATTCCACATTATCCTACCTTATGCTGGTTTAACACATTCTGTGATATTTTCTGCTGTTCTAAGATATTCTACTGTATGTTATCATATGCTATGCTATGCTATGCTATGCTATGCTATGCTATGCTAATTGTACATTGTTCTATAATAGTTACGATGTTCTGTAATAGTTTCTGCCTTTCTCTTCGACGGTATGCTGTTTTCTATGTTATTCTAGGCAACGTCTGATTTTCTATGTTCTTAGAAAGTTGCATATTTTATTCTTTTTTTTTTTTGTTATGGGAATTCTTAAAGCCGCAAATATTGCAGCAAAATGAGAATTGCTATTAAACTGCTAATAATATTTTGCAAGCTAGTCAAAAGGAGAGGAATAGATAACATTACCCAGACAACATTTGGCGTAGTGTCCCCAATATTTAAGAAGAAAAAGAAGAAGAAAAAGGAAAATATCCATAGCCTCCGCTTGGCAACATATTGCGAAAGTTGTTAAGAAAATGAGCTGAGATGTGTCACTGTATCCGATTCATTCATTAGTCATTTCCACATGTTCCGTGACGACGTTTTTTCCCTAATGACGCTATGCAAAAATGTACCGACGTCTAGGATAGTTTTAAAACCCGATGCGGAATTTAGCTACTGTGAGAAACGTAAAAACACGCGTAGCTAAGGACGAATAATCCTTTGAATAATTCATATTTCACTGTTACTTCATTATCAATGATCAAGTTCAATTGAAATAAAAAAAATAAATAAATAAAAAACAGTCCCACAGTTTAGTAGTTAACTAAAACCAAGTTTTGTTATGCAGAGGAAAACCACCGACGGACAAAACCAGACCGATTTATAATGAAATGTCATAATGATTAAGACAATTTTTTCCAGACTGGCAAACTTAATAGCAACGATGAAATGAGCAAGTGACAGTTAGTTCGTGTTGAGTTGACAGCATAAATGTTCACTTTAAAATTTATTGCTAATAATGTGCTGATGTAATGTGACGTAAACATTATCACAAAAATATATGTAATTGCGATTTCACTGCTGGAAATATAACTAATAGAATATGTGCACTTGTGTGCATCATATATATGAATACGAAACCCTGTTATGTGAATCGTCATTGAAGTTGAATGCGTCACTTCAAATTAACGTATTTTCTTAAACTAAAAAATCTTCAGAGCACATCGAAGTAATTTTGTTCTCAAAAAAAAAAAAAAAAAAAAAAAAAAAAATCAAAAAAAAATTTCTCCCTTTTTATAAATATTTCGATTCGATGGCGGATGTATACAATCATTTAGTTTTCTCGGACGCATGCACGTACGTATTCGTGTTTATAGAAATAAATGCGAAAATCTCTTCATCTTCCTCTTTGCGCATGAACTTGCATTTGCGGCTGGCTTGTGGTAATAAACATTTCGATTTTTCTTTCTTGTTTTTTTCTCTCGAATATTTTTGCATAATTTCGTGTTTGTGTTTACAAAAATTGTGTTTTTTTCACGTTAGTTATTATATTGAACTCCATTCAATATTACAAGCAGTAAAAATGTGTTACATATATATACATATGTATTACATATATATACATACATACATACAAACATACATATATGCAAGCACGTACTTATTTTTGTTTTGTCTAAAAACTATCAGGAATTTTTGAAAAAAAAAAAAATGAAAAAATTATGCATCAACGGTTTCATTATTGACGTCAAATTAGGCCTTGTCACGTTCGAAAGAATCCTGCCAAAGAATAAATTAATCCCATATACATAATTTTGTATGCTGTTTCCCCACTAAAGCTCTTCGCTCTTTTATGTCTTCAACGGATCAAAAAGATTTCGTTCAAGTGATAAATTCTGCTGTAGGGAAAAGAAACATAACTGAGACAGCCACCTGAGATGACTGCCTTTCGATTGCTTCAGGTGTCAAAATGAATGAAATTGGGTTTCCTTGTGCAACGATGTGTTCCGTCCGTTCCACAAATGTCAGTCCAAAAGTGTTTTCATGTTTCTCTCATATCATCTGCTGCTCGACCATCAACTCCCACCTCTGAGGTTTAAAGGCTATGACAGCATTTTCAGCAAATAAGTGAGAGGAACATTTTGTGAAACGTAGAGTTTCATGCAAACCTTGTATGCCTCACAGCACAGCACAGCACAGCACTTAAAGATATCATTCATCTTACTTGCAATGCACAACTTTGTCACCTAAAGCCTATCTACGTAAACAATCGTTTTCTGATCATCAGTTAAAACCAAAAGTAGGAAAATGGTTGGAAAAGAGTGTGGCACTGGCAGCATAGTGATGCCCACTTTTCTTTGGGACAGTTTTC